GCTCCTGGCTCCTGGCTTCAGATAGGCACAGCTCTAGCTGTTGTGGCCAATTGAGTAGTGAACCAGCGAATGGAAGACCTCTCTCTCTCTCTCTCTCTCTTTCTCTCTCTGCTTCTCCTTCTCTCTCTGACTTTCAAATAAATAAATAAATATAAGAACATCTATTGAATGAGGTTCATTACATCCTGCAAATCCTATAGTTGATTTTTGAAGTTAGGGTCATTAATAGTTTGCTTCCTGAAACTTCATCTTATTGAGAAGTCATCCTTCAATTCTGTTAAGAGCTTTATGCATTTCAATATTGTTAGTCTGTGACTGACAGATAACTTTATCACTTTTAGGTTTATAGGGCATTTGTACCTGTAACCATATTTGGTTCCATGGAGAAACCATGCTAGGCGTGCATTGTTCTTGTTTTCATCTTTCAGCTGAAGAAACTGAGTCGCAAGGAGGGGGCCTTGCTTCACTTAAGATTGCTTAGCACATAACATTGTACCATGTTTACATTTCAAAAGCATGAGTTCTTCTGGCTCAATCAAGTTGCTTTTAAAATAGTCATGATCTTGAAGCATACCTGTAGATGTTCCTCCCTCAGCTGATTTCAGCCTCTTGATCCCTCTCTGTAGTGTAGTTACTCAACCAGGTACTAACAAAGCTTTTTGTGCCATACAGGATAGTTACCTGTCATGGCCACATCAGTATCATGGCAAGCCTTTTGTCAGTTACCTGGCTGAACTTTGGCATTCTGTGTTCGTAGTAAGCCCTTGGCTTGCTAAAACCATTGAGGCAGGATTCAATTCAGTTGGTGGGATCTTTCTTTTTTTTTTTTTTTGTTTTTTAATTTTTGACAGGCAGAGTGGACAGTGAGAGAGAGAGAGAGACAAAGGTCTTCCTTTGCCATTGGTTCACCCTCCAATGGCCGCCGCGGCGGGCGCACTGCAGCTGGCGCATCGCGCTGATCCAAAGGCAGGAGCCAGGTGCTTATCCTGGTCTCCCATGCAGGTGCAGGGCCCAAGCATTTGGGCCATCCTCCACTGCACTCCCTGGCCGTAGCAGAGAGTTGGCCTGGAAGAGGGGCAACTGGGACAAAATCCGGTGCCCCAACCGGGTCTAGAATCCGGTGTGCCGGCGCCGCAAGGTGGAGGATTAGCCTATTGAGCCACAGCGCCGGCCAAGGGATCTTTTTCTTTATATCTTTATATCTGATTACTAGTCCTGTGATCTCTGTAATCTCCTTGGAGCATTTATAAATAATCACAAACTATTTGTTTAAAAACCCCCCATCAAAATAATTAAATACATGAAATCTGATAATCTCTTAATCGGTACACTTCCAAAAACACTATAGAGGGGTACACCATACTCTACAGGGTCCTGAGTGTATTAAAGACAACTTAAACTCTAGACAGTGGCAATTTGGTGGGTTGTCAAATGAATTTGGAAAATGAGACAGACTAAATTACAAACCATCAGAGTAAAAACAATAATAATTACTATAGCATGATTTTTTGCCTTAATGTAATCTGTATAGATCCGTTGAGTTGTGATGGAAAATATAACCTTTACTGTGAGTCATTGCCATTAATTCGTAAGATCCTGTAATAATGCAAGAAACAGACACAGAACCATATTTATCATCTTTGGGACATATAATAAGTGTATGTACAGGGTGCTAAAGGAGAATGAGTGTTTTGTCTTTTTTTGTCCATTTTGTTTTTTATTGCTTTGGTTTTTGTTTGTGTGCTGTGGTTCAAACGACCTTAATGCTGTAACATTTCCCTGAAATTCTTTTTTTCAAGACTTCTGCACTTTTTTACATGCCATGGTTGGGTTGTAAATATCTTTCTGTTGGCCCAAGCTCACATAATAAGCTCTTAGAACCTAGCAGACAGGAGCAGGCATTCCATTCCCCAGTCCACAGTGCCCAGCTTGGCATCGTTTCGTAACCTAAATAAAGGAGTCCTTATCCAGCTAGTATGTGGTTTGCTAACATCAGTAACCAGGTTTGAGAGTCATTGGAGCCAAAACTAAATATTGTAGTTTCTATTTTTAAATATCTATATTTTCTTTAAAAGTCTATCCTTTTGCCTTCTCCAAAACTGCTTGCTAAAGGGCTTTTTCAGATGCCTACTCGATATCAACTTCTCACTGGCTTCCTGAAATGCTATTTAAAAATCCAGTAAGCTCAATCTTCATCTGTCGTGGTGCCTTATATATACATGGCCATCCGATGTAAGTTCCTATGATCTCCATTGCAGGGAGTGAGCAAGAAGAAAGTACCACAAGTGAAGTCTACTTTGAGTGATCATTCCAGACAGAATCTTGCCTTTTTTTCCATTTGTACAATTACAAATTTTTCAAGCCTTTCATCAAAGCTTTATACAATGTTTTTAAAGATCAAAGCTAAATTTCTCACTGTGATGTCAAAGCTATGGAATTCTCGTTGGTACCCTGAGTTTGTACATTCGTCAAATGTGTCGTTTAGTCCAATCTGTACAAAATCTAGATTCTTGAAGGAATACACAAAAATGGAAATATTCCAATAATTTATTGACTATGTGTTTACTTTTCATTGCAAACAGAATATATTGCAAGATTCAGGAGAGTTAGGATAGATATTAGAGATATGAAAAGGCTGATGAGCAATTGAACAAACATTGACAAGTGAACAAATACTCTTCAGTGAGGGACTATTCAATTCATCACCTTATTTTATCTCCTGATCAAACCCAGGAGGCAGGACATTTTTTAAATTTTTATTTATTTGAAAGATAGACAGAGACAGTTGGAAAGAGAAATTTTCCATCTGTTGGTTCACTCCCCAGCTGCCTACAACATTTAGGACTGAGCCAGACCAAAACCAGGAGTCCAGAACTCAATCCAGGCCTTCTTCATGGGTGGCAGGATACACATTAGCAGGAAGCGTGGAGGCAGGACTCAAACCAAACATTTTGATACGGGATTCACCCATCACCAGCAAGGTCTTAACTGCAGCACCAAACTCCTGTTCCAAGGCTTTTTTTTTTTTTTTTTTTTTTACAGGCAGTTAGACAGTGAGAGAGAAAGAGACAGAGAGAAAGGTCTTCCTTCCGTTGGTTTACCCCCCAAATGGGCACTATGGCTGCGTGCTGAGTGGCACATTGTGCTGATCCAAAGCCAGGAGCCAGATGCTTCTCCTGGTCTCCCATGCGACTGCAGGGCCCAAGCACTTGGGCCATCCTCCATTGCACTCCCGGGCCACAGCAGAGAGCTGGACTGGAAAAGGAGCAACCGGGACAGAACTGGCACCCCAACCAGGACTAGAACCCAGGGTGCCGGCACCGCAGGCAGAGGATTAGCCAAGTGAGCCGTGGTGCCAGCCCCCAAGGCTTCTTTTTAATCTCATTTTATAAGTTGCAGAAACTTATTTTGGAGGGACAACTTGTATAGAGACCCATACCTTTTAACTGGTAACACTAGCACTCAGAACCAGGTCTTAGAACCAGATGCCAAAGTAAAATAAAACAAACTTAATTTGCTTAACAAAAAAAGATTGCAGTTATTATAGGTTTGGCATTGAGGAGGAGATATAAATAGTATTAACAGAGGGAAGGGCCCTGCTTGTGATGAGTTTCCTTGTAACAGAATGGAAGCTCTGTGGGGCCCGCACTGTGGCACAGCAGGTTAAACTGCTGCTTGTGAGGCCGGCATCCCATATCAGAACACCAGTTTGAGGAGTGCAGCTCAGAGTCCCAGCTGCTCCACTTCCAATCTAGCTTCCCGCTAATGCACCTGGGAACACAGTGGAAGAGAGCCCAAGTGTTCCCATGTGGGTGACCAGGAGGAGTTCCTGGCTTCCTGGCTTCTGCATGGCCCAGACCTGGCTGTTGTAGCCCTTTGGGCAGTGAACCAGTAGATGAAATCCTCTCCTCTCCTCCTCCCTCCTCCCCTCCCCTCCTCTCCTCCCTGCCTTCATCTCTCCCTCTCTGTCTCTCCTTTTCTTTCTGTTGCTCTGCCTTTCAAATAAATAAATAGATAGATAAATAAATAGATAAATAAATAAATTTTAGAATTGAGTAGGCTGCAAAAAATAATACCAAAAAAAAAAAAGAAGAAGAAGAAGAAAACTTTCTCTCTAGCTGAAGGCCTCCAAATGAGAAATGAGACAATCACCTTTGGACTGTGCTGTGAAAAGTTGTTTAGATGGAGAGGATGCTGCAGGCCAGGATTATAGCCAGTTTTTTACTGTAGAGGATCCAGAGAGAGGTGGTGAGGGCTTAGACTAAGGGAATGAGAGTGGGGGGAACAGACTGGAAAATCATTTCCAAGTTGGGTCTTGGTGACATGTATGGAGTGGAGGCAGCAGGATCCAATGATTCAATTCATTTCGGAAAGAAATGCTGATCCTAGATTAGAGTCTTGGTGGGCCCAAAGGCCATCTCTGTGGGGGAATGCAAGCCCTCATCTCTCAGGGGCTGCAGATTCAGACATGGGTAAGGTCAATGCGTGAGGTGCAAACGTCACATTTCTATCCGGAGGAGTTCCGTAGGTGATTTGCTGCTAAATACAATGGGAGATGACGGTGAGGGTGCTATTGCCATTGAGCTTCAGAAGGGGAGATTTGGAAATAATGGCCCCAGGGCTCACTAAGTGCCCTTTAGGGCAGGGTGAGTTTCTTTGTGAAGAGGAAGGCTTCATTTGGAAACTGGTCATTAAACCCTCTTTGTAAATAGGTCAGGGAAAGCTTCTTAGAGAGACAGGAATGATTCAGAGGCCTTGTGAAAATGAAAAGGAAGAGGGTGGGTAAGTTGAGAAAAGGTCCTGTGGCCACTGAGGAGGTAAGGAAATATAAGACAGCGAGCCGCGGTGGCAGGAGCCAGGAGAGGTGTTAAGAAGCCAAGCAGCCTGCGAGGAGTGGAGGACAGACAGACAGACAGGACGTGCTTGCCGGTGCTCAGCTCACCCGGAGTCCCCGGGCACCCACACTGCCCATCATGAGCAACTGCCTTGATGTCTTGCAGGGTGAAGACTCAGATGAGGAAGATCTCTGTATCAGCAACAAATGGACTTTCCAAAGAACCAGCCGCAGGTGGTCTCGCGTGGACGACCTGCACACCCTGTTCCCCGGAGGAGACAGAAATGGGTCGCTGGGAGGCCCTAGGATGAGAAACACGACCAGCAGCGAGAGCGTCCTCACAGACCTGAGCGAGCCCGAGGTCTGCTCCATCCACAGCGAAAGTAGCGGAGGCAGCGAGGGCCGCAGCCAGTCCGGCCAGTACGGGGCTGACAGCCCGGTCATGCTGGAGGCCACGCTGGTCAGCAGCAGCCTCCCCCAGTCCCGAGAAGGCCTCAGCCACCCTTTCCACACCAGGAATGAGAAACCTGGCAGGGCCAGGGCCAAGTCGTTTTTGAAACGCATGGAAACGCTGCGCACCAAGGGATCCCACGCACGGCTTAAGGGGCCGGTGCGGACAGGCGGCCTGGTCATCAGCGGGCCTGTGTTGCAACAGGAGCCGGAGTCCTTTAAGGCCATGCAGTGCGTCCAGATCCCAAACGGACACCTCCAGACCTCGTCCCCTGCTGCCTGCCAGAAAGGGCTGCCGGGCTCTGGCAAATCGAGCGGGGACAGCAGCCCCTCGGAAAACAGCAGCAGCGGGGTGAGCACGCCTTGCCTGAAGGAGCGGAAATGCCACCAGGAGGCCAACAAGCGCGGGGGCATGTACCTGGAGGACCTGGATGTGCTGGCAGGGACAGTGCTGCGGGAGGCGGGGGACCAGAACCACACGCACGGGTTTCACTCCCAAGAGAACTTGCTGGTGCATATCCCCAAGGATCACAAACCAGGAACGTTCCCCAAGGCACTTTCCATCGAGAGCCTGTCGCCCACAGACAGCAACAATGGGGTTAACTGGAGGACCGGGAGCATCTCCCTGGGCAGACAGCAGGGCCCAGGGGCCAGGGAGCCGCGGCTCATGGCGCCCTGCCACAGAGCAAGCCGAGTCAGCATCTACGACAACGTGCCCGGCTCCCATTTGTACGCAAGCACAGGGGACTTGCTGGACCTGGAGAAAGATGACCTCTTCCCCCACCTGGATGACATCCTGCAGCAAGTCAGCGGGCTCCAGGAGGTGGTGGACGACTGGTCAAAGCATGTGTTGCCAGAGCTGCAAACTCAGGATGCGCTGGCTGGGGAGCCCGGCTTAGCACCCTTTCCATCTCCTAATCAGATCACCTTGGACTTCGAAGGCAACTCGGTCTCTGAGGGTCGGACCACGCCTAGCGATGTAGAAAGAGACGGCGGGTCTCTGAATGACTCTGAGGTCCCTGGAGTCAGAGAGAGGAGGGATTCTGGTGTGGGAGCCTCTCTGACCAGGCCAAACAGGTGAGTGACATGCTTTGGTGAAATCAACTGTCATCTGTTCTGTAGCAATTGTGCCTGGCTTAGTGTTCAAACAGACACTGAAAAAGGCTTATGCTGCTGTCGATGGTTTATGTGGTCAGGAATTATTTAACAGAAATTTGTATTTTGTATCAGTATCATGTTGATTGAACCCCTGCAAACTCACATTCATTTCTCTCCTTAGTCTTTATTTAGACCTTAGTTTTATTTAAAAAAAAAAAAAAAAAAGTCTGAGCTTCTTACATGTGAGGCACTGTATGTGGAGAACCATGGGTGCTGGGAGCCCAGTTCAGGTGCACAGTTGGGGTATGGCCTTGCAGTGGTATTAATTCCATTGTCTTGTCTCCACTTTTACACTTCTTTTCATCTCATGAGAAATTCCTGAGATCTAAGATGTGTCCTTTTGAAGTTAATTTTTGCTTCAAAATGTCAATTATAAAAGACATAGAAGCTGATTGACAAAGACCCTTTCAGAAGCACCCTAGAAAAATGTCTGTGGGAGGGCATGGCTGGTGGAAGCAACACCCCCATGTGTGCTGCTGGGGTCTGGGTGAGGCAGGGCTGTGTGCGGGGGCTCCCTGATGGGTCAGCACCTTCTGGCCTCTCAGCTGCACCTGCCCCCTTCACGTTCCATCTCAACACAGAGCAAGGCTTGGAGCTGGGAGGCATGGAAGGCACTGTGGAAAAATTCTGCAGCCCCAAACCTTGGAGAGCTCTCCAATTCTATCTCTTTATCTTTCTCGTACTTTCTCTCTCTGTGTGTGTCTCTCTCTCTGTCTCTCTCTCTCTCTCTCTCACACACACACACACACACACACACTCACACACATAGGGTGTCAGTGACTCTCAACCCTTTGGGAATGAACTTGAAAATAAACAAATAAGCAAAATTTATTATCCCACTTCTTTAAACCTCCTAACGAAACAAGCAGAAAATAAGACTTCTTCCAGATTTGTCCAACTTGGAAAAAAAAATTCACTTCCTATGTTTATTCTGCACACTTGTGTCTCCAGTTCCTTTTGCTCTGTGATTTTCTTGGCTCAGAAGCGATTTTGATTAACTACTTATACACGGGTGGTATCTTGGGTTTTCCAATAACAAGTCCCCTTGGTGACTGGCTTCTCTGATGGTCTTTCCGGTCAAGGCGACTGCGATGGAACAGCTTCCAGCTCTCACACCAGCCCCAGCCCTCACCGGCGTCGCCCCACATAAGCAACCAGACGGCCGGCCAGCTGAACCTGCTCCAGCGCTTCTCACTGCTTCGCCTCACAGCCATCATGGAGAAGCACTCCATGTCCAACAAACACGGCTGGACATGGTGCGTAGCACGTTCCGGAGAGGGGATCGTTTATCCTAGAGCTAAGTATGTGATGGCAAACGCTTCCCTATTTCCTTTCTGATTTCTGAAGAGTCCATTCACTGTCTGCGCTGACTAGCGCTGCCCCCTGGGCTGCTGCAGCCCGGATGTGATGCAGCCCACAGGAAGCCTTGCTTTATTTGTAGCTCTCAGTTGGTTTTCAGGGAAGGCAGTCAGGCTCCGAGAAAGAAAAAAAAAAGACAAGTAAAGGGTGATGAATTGTGAACAGAGGAATTACAAATACACTTGCCATAAAATAACTCGAAAGTTTGCAAAGAAACATCTGTCACTTATACCTTTTAGCCTGAGGCAGAGTTCAGCCCTTAGAACACTGATTCCTTCAAAGGACATTTAATTCCTCACATACATTTCTGCTGGTATTTTCATTGGCAGATAAAAACAAGGATACATAGTCAGCCTTGGTTACTAAAGACTGACAAAAGCATTCTGTTGGAACTTGAATGTGGATCTATTGTAGATGGTTTGGTAGGTTTGAAAAATATAAAATGTTTCAATAATGTTTTGATGTTATATATCATGTGTATAGAACAATCGATGTGCTTGTATAAGACTATTTTAGAAGGTTCTAACTCGCGTGATTAAATCAATATATGTTGTGTATTAGAATTCCCTTTCAAAGTACAAGTGACTCTAAGAAACTAAGGATTTAGCTGAGAAAAGTGATTCCTCTTGCTTTCCCTCTTTCTCTCCTTCTCTTGTAATTTTGACTTGTATTCCGTTTTGTTTGGTTGGGATTTTGAAGTGTTCATCACTTGAGAGAGAGGTCAGTCACTGTTCAATTAGGAAGTTGTCCGCTTGCCTTGAAAACAGAACTACAAACACAATCTGCCAACCCGAATCCTGCTGTTTAACAGAAATAACCCGCAGGCAAGGGCCACACAGTGGGACTGCCTCGCTCCCTGATTAGTTTACAGTGAATGCGGAATCCCTCCTGGGCCTGCTGGACGGCCCAACCATAGCTTGGCTTCCTCTAACTTGCTCCCACAGCCTCTCCCCACAGTGCACCCTGGGGGCTTGCATGACCTGCTTTATGTGAATTCTAGGTCTGTTCCAAAGTTCATGAAGAGGATGAAGGTTCCGGATTACAAAGACAAGGCTGTCTTTGGTGTTCCCCTCATAGTCCACGTCCAGAGAACAGGACAGCCTCTGCCCCAGAGCATTCAGCAAGCACTGAGATACCTGCGCAGCAACTGCCTCGATCAGGTAGGCCTGCAGATCCCAAACAGGGCTTGGGCTCGCGGAGTTGATCAGACCAGGTCGGTGCGGCCCAGTATCAGGCAACACGGGCCTCACCAAAAGTAAAAGGCATGGTGATCTTCAGATGTTAAGATTTAATCTGACCAGGCTGCATCCTTCTCAGACTTTCTGAGGTTGTTTGGTCTTTGGCTGACACCCTGGAGAAACCACAGGAAGTTAGTGTTTATAATTTGTAGCTGTACCATCTAATTTGCATACCTGAAAACCGAGAAGTGAAGCTATGCATTGCATTCCCTTTATATTATTGTCCCAATGCTGCCACTGATTTTAAAGCAATCTTTTATCCCTGTTATATCATTTTTTAAGAAAACTTGGTTTTTAGGTCTCCCCTTATTCATTCTTCTTTTTATTAAACAACAAAATGACCAGGAAAACGAAAGCCAGATTTATTTATGTCTTTTCAAAATGTGTACGTAAAATATGAAAACAGTATCAAGTAAAGAAAGTGTCCTGTCCTCTTAAGAGCTATTGAGAAGCTCAAGCTGAGATCATTTTCTGGGGCCCATCGTACTCGTAGGCTGTGCTAAGCCCAGAGTATGGCCCGTCCTAGAATTTACCAAGCAAAGCCATTGCTGCTCCAGATCCACACCCATTCATCTCTTAGATACTGTGTCCAAAGTAAAAGCTGTGTTCTTGTTTGATAAACTGCATTCTTGAGTAATGGAGGTATTTTCAGGTGACTGTTTTATGGTAGGCCTTTCAGTCATGTTCTTTAACACCACATGGAGAATCTATACCAACCTCAGAGCATTTGTACTACTTCCCATTGGACTTGGCTCAGCAGATAGGAATAAGCTAAGCTATGTGAATTCAGAGATTCTGGCCATTGATGCCGTTGGAGACCCCAACACTGGACCCCGCCCAAGAGTCAAGATGGTCTCTTGATAACTCAGATACCAACTGTCTGTGGAACAAAATCAGAATTAACTTCTTCATTTAACATCATCCTTGGTTGCCCTGAATGCACAACATCCTTGGTCCCGTCCTACTTCTAACATAGAGAGTGTAAGATAAACATGTTTCCATATTTAAGTGCCATAGAGACGTGGTGGCTGTTACTGCTGTGAAGATAGATGACTGTTGAGAAATGGCCTTGAGAGTATCTAGTCTCCTGTTCCTCAGAAACAAGGCAACTACACTGCTTTAAAACCAGGTGCTCATCTTTCTTCTGATGCTCCAACATTAATGGGCTTGTGAATGACACACCAATAGAACAAACCAAGGGATTTGAGACTTAAGCATAAATTCTTATTTTTTTTTTTTTTGGAGAGTTGACCATAAACTCACATTAATCAAGGTTCATATTTTGAGTGTTTAAATGAGAAAAACATTCAGAGAGGTAGACATATGTGAATATGAGGAAATAACCACTCTAATCTCTCATCCAGTGCTACAATTATAACAACCAAGTCCCCTGACGTAGGACTTTCTGACATCAATTATACTTTGGTTGGTTTGTTGGTACACAACTAACATTGTTTTGTGGAGGGTAGCCTTGATTCACACACATTTTTCCAGACTTCTCAATTTTCAGAAAGAGATATATCTCATTCATCCACCCTCTTGGCTCTTAGAGTTTTAGATTCTGCCCTTTACCAAGCACAGAGAATATTTTACTCCAGAAAAATGGCCAGCTAATGCTTATCAGCAAAAGTGCCATTAAGAGAAAACAGTGTTTGTTCAGGGGTGCCTGAAGGAAATGCAGTCATCTGGGCCATTAGTTTAATAACAATAACATTTCTTGGCTGCCCAGCGTGTTTCAGGCAATCGTACTAAGTGTTCTGCATTCATTGCCTCATTGAATGCTACACCCACCCTGGCAGTGTCATCCCCCAGGTCTCAGTCATGGAGCCAATGCTCACTCCCAAATCTGTAGAATCCCTGGGCACACATTTTTAACCACTCCACTCCACTCTGCCACTCATTAAAACTGCTCTTCCCCAGTGGAGTTTGAGGTAATGCCCTCTCTAGCACTGCCGGGTACTTTAAGAAGTGACCCTACACAGCCCACTAATGAGTGCACTGTCAGGATCTTGTTGATGATGTTGGTCACTATGTTACATAGTGTCTTTTCCGTGAGAATGGGAAGAAGCATTTTTTTTCTCTGGCTGCAGCACCTGAAAGCCTTGTTTCTTTTGGACAGTTGGTCTGTTTTATATATTATGGACAGTAGACTCATTCAGCTGGGTGTGTTTTCCTCTTGCACGGACTACTAGAAAGCTTGGAGCCAAATGTGTGTTCTGCCATTATAAACTTACAAGGCACTTTGAAAAGTTCATGGACATGGAATTAAAAGATAAGGTTATTTTGATGCAAAACAATTGAAATCCAGGCATACAAGGTATCATCAAAAAGTTTATGAGAGAGGCTGGTGTTGTGGAATAGCTGGTGGAGCTGCCTCTCACAATGCCAGCATCCTATATGGACACTCGTTCATGTCCCAGCTGCTCCACTTCCAATCCAGCTCCGTGCTAATGGCCTGGGAAAAGCAGCAGAGGATGGCTCAGGCACCTGTGCCCCTGCTACCTATGCGGGAGACCTGGAAGAAGCCCCTGGCTTCCTGGCTTCAGCCCAGCTCAGCCCCGGCCATTGCCACCATCTGGGAAGTGTAAACAATGAATGAAAGGTCTCTCTCTCTCTTTCTATAACTCTAACTTTCAAATAAATAAATCTTTTTAAAAAAAGATAGGAAATCAGGCATGTAAATGGTTAGAGTTTCCTCTTTCCTACCTCTTAAAAATTTTCATGAGAAATAAGTGTTTTTTAAAAATTATACATGAATTTTAAGTATTTTTGCATCAAAATGAACATTTTTTATTTCATTTCCATGAACTCTGTGAAGTACTTTCCTATGTAATTTTTTGGTCTTTGTTTTCCACATCAGCCTCACTTCTAGTATCAGCTAGCCTTTTCTATATTTATTTTCCTTTTGCTATAATTTGCTTAGAAATTATCTTTAACTTAATTGTATTTTGTAGATCACTGTAAGATATTGTAGATTCTTTCTTGAACAAGATTGGGTATAAATAAATAAATTGCCCATACCTCTGTTCTACTCACTGCCAAGCCGTTAGTGTAGGATGGAAAATGTTCCTGCCCTCCACAGATTCGGAATGATGTGTAGCACCGTTTTTCTGCAATCCTTGGATCCAGTCTCCCTTTTGAAGCAAAAGCCGTATATGTGAATAGAAAGTGGGCATCAAAACCTTCTCAACTGTTGCTCATGGAAATATTCCCAGTGTCCACCCCAAGTCTCTCTTTTTTTAATCCAGAAGAATGTCATGCTGTAAAGGCACATGCATTGTATGGGCACAGCTTTAAAGAAAAAAGACTCCTTTCAAGGACATAAATGCTGATTCTAAATGTAACCAAAGTGAATGAGGTGACACTTTGTTTCAGTGACATGTGAGAATGTGCAGGATGTAGGATGTCGCAGGGACTTTCACCGTAGCCACTTTCTGCCTTTCAGACCTCCCATTCCAGCAGGGTTTCCCGGTGTGTGTCACTCTCCTTCCCTGGCACACAGTGGGAGCACAGGCAGGTGCCACGCTTCTGGTCCACAGGGAAAAGGAAGGAAACGGGAAAACTAGAAACACAGAAAGAAGAATCTGAGAACACTGGGCTCAGGAGGACTGTCCTAGAGATTTGGGAGTGAATCGAAGCTCTTGGATCAGGAAAGGGGGGGAATAAAGAGTGAAAAGGAAGGAGAAAAACAGAAGACAGAAATTCCTTCTTTACCAACAAGTCCTTGGGATTTGAGTCTGCACAGTGCCTTGAGATCTCAGCCTGAGAATCCTAGCAACCTCTTCTCCCGAGGAGGCATCCTGCAGTGAGCCGTACACCTTCTACCCCTGCTGAGCCCTCATCTCAGACCCGTCGCACACAGTGGAACCCAGGGCCCAGAGTCACTTCCTGGGCTCCCTGGTGCAGAGCAGTTTATGTATGGTGAAGCGCAGTGCATCCATTTCCCCCCTCGCAGATGGCTGGAGACAAAATGAGGAAGTTTAGCCTTCAATTATGACCCATTTGTATTCAGACATAGCAGTGTGTGTGAGGAGCCTTGCTTTGTCATCTGAGCTTTTATTTCTGCCCTAAATCAACTGTGCAAAGAAGGATGGGGTACACCAGGCTTCTGATGAATAATGAAGCCACTGCAGTGGGGCGCGAAACCTGTCTGCTGCAAAGCAGAGCCCGCCGCACAGGCAGCTGACAAATCTTTCTGAATAAAGCCAACCTTTCTTCATTAGCTGTGCACATCTCTAAAGAAGAGGAAATGGAAATCCTGATAAACATCATTAAGTCCTGAAAGGATTAGCATAAACAGGATGCCACGGAGGAGATTTGATATTATTTAGATGAAATTTGAATTCTAATGCAGCACTCATGCCCGACCGCTCCTTCTAATGGAGCAGTAAGTTTTAAAAGCCTAATTATGCTGGGAAGACACTTCATGCTCAGTACGAGCGTGCTCCGCCCCACTGTCTGCTCATCATCAAGCCCACAGCCTACCTCAGATAAAATGAGGGGCGCTCTGGGAGCGGCAATTCGAAGTCCATCTCAAGTTCTCACTTTCTCCTAGCTGGATTTTTAGGTAGAACACAAAAGAGACAGGGGAGTAAACCAGATCAGAAGATCCCTCTTCAGTCTTGCTTTTATCGTTAGAAGGAGAGAGAGAGAGATCATGCGGAAGAAAAATGCTTATAAAATGAATTTCGTTCAGCACCCTCCGTTGTCCCTTTTGAGGATGAGATCTGTTACATAGGCTGTAAGGCCCAATATAAAATGCAAAAAAAATTTATTTTTACAATGTGGGATTCCTTGTTCATAAATTACTGCGATTTTTCGAAACAGTGAGCACTAACTGTGTGACTGCCCAGGTTACCCAACAACTGATGACAGACAAGGAAGCAATCAAAAAACATTCACAGACAACAGCTTTACCCACTAATCCACAACCCTGGCCCCTGTTCTCCATTTTTCACTTGGAAAAGAACTTTAGTTCAAAATGCAAAATTCATCCCTTCTTTGAAAATTTTTTGAAGAAGAAATTATCTGGGGCAGTCACTCATGCCACTGCGCAGTTGGAAGCCACCCTCTGGTTTCAGGGCCTCTACACCCTTAGAAGGACCTTCTGTTTACTATGGCCAGGGTCTGCCCACCACAGTAAGTGGCTCCAAGAATAGGAAATTCATGATCCAACACAACAATAACAAAAACCAGTGATTTCCAGGGTCGTTCCTTCATCAACTCCCCAAGAAAGACGGGCTTCTTTCTATGGCTTCTTTCTTCCGGCCTCAGCTGCTCCATCTGGAAACGACAACCTTCCCTTTATTTGGTTTTGGGAAAGAAATTTCCTTCAGTGCTTCCAACAAAAATCCCCAGAACCCAGCAAAATTTCCCAGGTCTTCTGGAAGTCAAGGGTGGGGCGGGAAGGTTATTGTCAGAGGTTGAGGCGGAACCCCGCCAACCCTGTGGACATCCTGTAAGCTCCAAGTTAGAAAAAGCAGCTCGGAGACTGCCGCTGGAGAACTCCAGAGATGTCTCAAATCATTAAAATCACAATATTTGCCAAAAGGAGGCAGAAACTTGGTAACTGAATAATACCAAGAAAACATGGCTGGGATGTATGTGACACGGAGACAGAGCCTGGGGACACAGCAGACAGAAGAGGAATGTGCTCGACAATTCAAACACAAGCACTCGTCTGCTTTCTTCTTTTTATAGATTCCAATCAATATTTCTCTGCTGGCTTAAGAAAAAAAAAAAAAAGGAATTCTTCTCAAGTGGAATAATACTGACTCACATGAGGATAAATGTTTGTGAGTCACACTTAAGAATTCACCTGCGGGGCATTTAGCTTCTGAGAACTCCCCGTGCAGGCCTATGGTGTACACAAACCTGGGCCTCCTTCCAGAATTGAAGAAGTCAGGCATAGAAATCAACTGGAGATGCATCTTCCCGCAGTAATCACCCCTCTGACAGCTTGCATGTTTCTCTCACGGTGCTTGCGTTCTTCTCGTGCACTTTGAAGAAATTCAGAGGAGCTGCAAGATGAAGGGAGATAAATGTTAGAATCTTCACGAAGAGTCGGCTAAGAAAGTCTTGTCGTTTCTAGACATTCCAAACTTGAAGAATACCAAAGACAGTAATTAACGTTTGAAGAGGCAATATGCCTGCATACCCTCATCTGCCGGGTTAGGGTGTTAAGCCATGGAATGCAGACATTTTACTAAGATTTCTCTTTCGGCCACAAAAAGTAGCAGCAGGGAATTTTTCGTGTGAGCCATTCGGCTGACGTATACAAAAACCCAAGTCTTCTCTAATGGCTTGGAATTCTTCCCTTGCTATTCTTGCAGTTTAAAAGAATTAGAGCTGCTTTCAATTTTGAAGTAGCAGCAGTCAAGAGAGCCTGTGTCAGACCCTGGCCTTAGGTCAAGGCCTGCCTGGCACACAGAGCAGCTGGTGAGGTGGCCTCCATCCACGCCTCCCTTCAGGCATGGAGTGCCACTGCTTGCCTGTCCAGCCGCTCACTTCATGTTCTCACCTTGCTCTGCTCTGCAGAAGTGGCCTAACTCGTGAGCCACTGTAGAATGAGGCATGGGGAGATGGAGGGTGATGGATCCAGCGATGAGCAACTCAACACCCTACAGGTGTTTCAAAAGAGCAAACACGGTATTTCACTCTAAGCCGGGGCTCCCAGGAATGCTCAGTTCTTTTTGGACAGAGGCAGGGCCCTACAGCTTAGCCTGCTCCCACTATTCCAGCAGCTTCCTTCTTGCCATGAATATTCTGCTTACCTCATTCATTCCTTGTCGAGCCGTTATCTCCTTGACTTGTAATTGCTCCATGTCAAACGGGGGAGGTCTCTAAGCCCCTTGGATTAAAGAAAGTCATTCTAGGCCGGCGCTGTGGCTCACTAGGCTAATCCTCCGCCTTGCGGCGCTGGCACACCAGGTTCTAGTCCCAGTCAGGGTGCCGGATTCTGTCCCGGTTGCCCCTCTTCCAGGCCAGCTCTCTGCTGTGGCCCGGGAGTGCAGTGGAGGATGGCCCAAGTGCTTGGGCCCTGTACCCCATGGGAGACCAGAAGCACCTGGCTCCTGCCTTCAGATCAGTGCGCTGCACCGGCCGCAGCGGCCATTGGAGGGTGAACCAACGGCAAAGGAAGATCTTTCTCTCTGTCTCTCTCTCTCACTGTCCACTCTGCCTGTCAAAAAAAAAAAAAAAAAATCTTAAAAAAAGTCATTCTATGACAATGTCTTCAAATCTGAAAAAAAAGTTACCCAAGAGTCATTTTCACAACAGCCAAAGCTTAGACACCCGATAAACTAGGCAAGTAGAGTAGAAGCGCCAGGCATGATATGAAGAGCATCCATTGGAGTTGCCAAGGAAGCCAAAGAAGGGAAAGCAAAGAAGACCCTTAAAATCAAAATGCATGCCTGTGATGTTATTTTATTTCCTGAACGTGTTCTCCACAGAGCTCTTCCTCAGAGGGACACTGGCAACAGTCGCCTTTCTAGGATCCTCCCATCCACCGTCCACATTATTTCCACGGAAGCTTCCATTGACCCCGTGGAAGAGTGAGCACCACAGCGCAGGGAGTTTTGTCTGCTCTGCTCGCTAACTGCTACTAGGAACTCTTGAATATTCCTGATATGTAGTGTAGTGGGTATTTAGTTCCTACTTCTTGTAGGCATACCATGATGACATGATGACAACGTGGTAAGACTCTACAGGCCACAAAGCTCATCCACATGCGTGTCTTCATTTAGTCCCCACAGCAGCCCTGTGAACTGGAGCATTCTCCTTGTCTTCACGTTCTGGGAGACAACAATGTTCAGTTATGACCTAAAGTAACTACGCTAGTAACCCAGAATGTACTAGTTGGAAGGCAGTTCCAGTCCAGGTAGCCCTGACCCCAGGCCTTCCCATCACATCCAGGGTACTGGGGAGAGGCGACCTGGCTAATGTGCCCTGTGGCTTTTTCAGGTGGGTCTTTTTCGCAAGTCAGGAGTGAAGTCTCGAATCCACGCCCTACGTCAAATGAACGAGCACTTCCCTGAGAACGTCAGCTACGAAGACCAGTCCGCCTACGACGTGGCAGATATGGTGAAGCAGTTCTTCCGGGACCTCCCAGAGCCACTTTTCACCAACAAGCTCAGCGAGACCTTCCTCCACATCTATCAGTGTAAGTGGAAATAATGCACATCGGTGTTCTCCGGGGAATGCACTTGTTAACAACAGAAGTCCCCCTGGCCGGTGCTGTGGTGTAGTAGGCTAAGCCTCTGCCTGCAGCAATGGCATCCCATTTGGGCGCCCGTTCGAGTCCCCGCTGTTCCTCTTCTGATCCAGCTCTTGTTTATGGCCTGGGAAAGCAGTAGAAGATGACCCAAGTGCTTGGGCCCCTGCACCTGTGTGGGAGGCCTGGAAGAAGCTCCTGGCTCCTGGCTTCAAGTCAGCCTAGCTCTGGCTGTTGTGGCCATTTGGGGAGTGAAACAGCAGATGGAAGACTTACTCTATCTGTTTCTTCCTCTGTCTGCACTGTCGCTCTCAAATTAATAGATAAAACCTTTAAAAAAAAAAAAAAAGGCCCCTCACCAAGTAATGCCTGAATTCATGAAGAAGTCTATGAAAGTTATAATCCTACTCTTCAAATATAACCTCTAGTCACAGTTTGATATGAGAATCTTCTGGTCAATATATTTGCCACTGAAAATGCCCCTTTTGATATCAAAATATTTCAGTAGCATCTGTGTGAGATCTAAAAATAACTCAGCATGCTTTCAAAATTTTTAAATATAAAGGGCATATAATAGAATTTATTTTGTATGCAGATATTTTTTAAAATTCCTGGAATTTTTAAAAGTGTGCATTTATTTAGGATACAGAAAAATGAAGCCGAATATTATAAAGACTAGAGAGAAGGGCCAGCCCTGTGGTGTAGATGGTTAAGCCTCCACTTGCAGTGCCGGCATCCCATATGGGCATTGGTTCAAGTCCCAGCTACTTTACTTCCAATCCAGCTCCCTGCTAATGTGCCTGGGAAAGCAGTAGAAGATGGCCCAAGTGCTTGGGCCCTGCACCCATGTGGGAAACCCAGAAAAAGCTCCTGGCTCCTGGCTTTGGCCTGGCATAGCCCTGACTGTTGCATTAGCAAGGAGCTGGGTGGAAGTGGAGCCAGGACTCAAACCTAGGGACTCTGATGTGGGATGCTGGTGTCCCAAGCAGATACATAACTACTATGTCAAATGTCCATTTGATCCAACTGGTGAAAAATAAGCAAATCAAATCGAGAATTAAGGTTAACTCAGTTAATTTATATTTTCACTTAGAATTTTTAAGTGGTATTACATCAGTATTTCTCTACAAAGCTACAATTAAAATAGTCACTGAAATTACAATTTTTGTTTAAAAATCCAATCTTAAAGGTAGCTGCAATTGGGTATATTGGAAGTGAGCATGTGACTTTTTTAGATGTGATAAAGATTAATAATTATTTTTGATGACCCAACCTCAATTCTTCAGAAAAAGGCAGTTAGCCTGTGGACTTTAAATTACAGCAAAGCAAATGGGCCTTGACATGAAATCAATCCAATCTGAAGATCCCTGCTATGCAGCATTCTGTACTAAATGTGTTTAAGGATTACAGAATGTTGCAAATTCCAAAAGGATTCTAATCAGTACCACTTGTAAAAACAGAATAAAGTGGTGGCCCATTAAATAAATATTATTTTGTCAAAGTGATCAGGTTAAGTTGAAATAATGATACACATTGCCAGAGCCCAAATACAGGGAGTTCGTGACGTTGTTGGTGTGAGAGAGGGGATTGCATTTTTCAATTATGCCTCTCTTATGGTTTGGAATTACCATATTCAAGTCTTTACATTTAATCGGTTCTTGAATTAAGGTTGACACTGGTCTAAGGCTAAGGCTAGATTACTCCCCAACAGATAAATGCCTTTGCCCTTTCTGAGACTCACAAGCAGGAAGCCAGATCAAAGCTTGGCTTTATTTTAGCTGAATAAACATTTGCTGAGTGTGGCTTATGTACAGGGCACCGTGCTGAGCTGCGGAGCATGGATGGGTGAGACTCACTGCTGTTAAGGCTCTTACAGTGTAAGGAGATGGGACATGAACATGGAGAGTCATGCATCTCTGAACAGCAAGGGTACCTCTTGAGAAATACATTGTTAGCACTCAGTGAGTGGACTTAACACAAACCTACAAGGTGTAGGTCAATCACTCAACATGGCCTCTGGATGCAGTCAAGAGCTGCTGTAACACGCTACTGGTGTAACAGGGCACTCTGTTTTACAGTCAAGGGTTTTTTAATGAGTAGGGACACACCCTAATGGTAAAAACACATAAATACCTAACCCAGTAACATAGCCATTTATTATTATGATTCCATATTATGTATTGTACATGTTGTCTTGTTATATTTTTATTTTTATAGATTTTTTTCAAGATTTTGTTTTATTTATTTGAAAGGCAGAGTGACACAGAGACAGAGGGAGAGACACAGAGAGATACCTTCTACCCACTGATTTACTCCCCAAATAGCCACAGGGCTGGTGCAGGCCAGGAGCCAGGAGCCAGGAACTCCACCCAGATCTCCCACGTGGGTGACAGGGATCCAAGTACTTGGGCCCTGTGTACTTCTGTTGCCTTCAAGGCATATTAACAAAGAGCTGGATCAGAAGTGAAACAACCAGGACTTGAACCCTCACTCTGATATGGGATCTGGTGTCTCGGGTGGCTGCTTAATCCACTGTGCCACGATGCCAGCCTTTGTTCATTCGCTGGCAGCACAGTAGATGTGTTGACACCAGCATCACTACAAACATGTGAGCGTGTGTCACACTATGATGTCATCATGGCTACAGCCTCACTAGGCGATAGGAATTTTTTAGCTCCATTGTAATATTACAGGATCACCATTGTATCTGTGATTCACACTGACTGAAACCTCATTATGCAGTGCATGACTGTAAGTACACCACAAGTTGGAAGAGTTCCACTGCAGGATTACAAAGACAAATTCAAGGAGTTTAGGATGAGGAGAGAGAACATGATAGACATAGTGCCAGCTGGAGGTTGACGCGTGAGGAGCAGATTCTGGGTGAAACAAGTGGCCCGAGCATGTGTCAGGAGAGCACAGGGTATTTTTCTGGATTCCACGTGTGGTAAAGGTAGTGTGACACCAAATGACTTGGAAAAATGAGTCTGAGGCCATTCAAAGAAGGGCATTGAATTGTATGCAAGGGGATCCGTCCTGATTCATTAAGGAACTGGAGACTCTTCGGGTGTGTTTGAGGACCTTGCCGGTCATGCTGCTCTCAGATGTAAAGACAGAACCAAAAATCCATCAATGAATTGTTTAAACAGTAAAGACATCTTATTATCTCAAGGGGCAAAAAATCTGGAGTCAAATAATTGCAGAGTTGAGTAATTCTCCAGTTCAGGGAAGCCAGAGCTAAAGTCAACTTTCTCCCTTGGATTGCTCCTTGAGGCCACAGTATGATTGCCACCACTTATAATTATCACATCCCCACAAAATCACCTTGAAAGACAGGAAGAGAGAGAAAGGGCTTCTCCTTGGGCATATGTCTCTTTTTATCAGCAAGATACATCTCGCTGAAGCTTTCCCTCACAATTATCTTGGTCTCATCTGCCAAAAATGGTTTATATCTTTTCCCCAAAAGAGACACTGCAAACAAGAATGGGATTACTATTTTTGGTTTAGACCAACATGATTCACCGTTGGGTCTGAGGGGGATCCCATTCCCTGAGTACTTTGCAGTGCACACCTAAACAGATGCTGTTATTTTCTTAGTGTGGAAGGAGGGGAGAATGGGAACTAGAAGGTAAACAAACTCATGCCTGCCACAATGGTGGCAGTCCATCAGACCTGTTGTTTGACCCGTGAATCTGGAAATAGTATACAAGAGTAAGGAGCTTGCAAATAATGAAGGTCTGGAGTTTACCTGCAGTGACTTCCAGCAGTCAGTAGAAATAAGACGTTCCAAGGATGGAGTCGAGAGTCAGAGTTTCCAAACCACTGCTGGGAAAAGGGAACGTTTCCTCCTCCAGGGCTCCGAAGCAGTTCTGACTTCAGCTGCTGCGTCTTGGGCTTACATCAGATGACTAATTAGGGTGGAATGTTGGTTGGGTAGGAAAATTATGTGAGAGTCCTACTGATCTACAGGAAGGAGAAAGATGGAGGGATCAAAGACAAGCCTAAGGTTTTAAGGCTTGAATATTGACAGAATATAGAAAGGGAGAGGGGAGAGGGGCGCTGCTTTGAGGGCAGGGAGGGAAGAAGGATTCAGAATTGACAGGATGTTGAGTTTGAGGGACCAGTAGCTGTCCACAGGGTCCTAATTATCATCACTTGGGCATGTAGATCTAGAATAGTTTCCTGAGAGCCACAGAAAGAGCAGGAACCTCACGAGTGTCTTGTTTAAAGTAAGAGGAGAGGCTCAGAGCTGCATGCTTAAGGTGGGGGTGAAGGCCGGCGCCGCGGCTCACTAGGCTAATCCTCCGCCTAGTGGTGCCAGGACACTGGGTTCTAGTCCCGGTCGGGGCGCCGGATTCTGTCCCGGTTGCCCCTCTTCCAGGCAAGCTCTCTGCTGTGGCCAGGGAGTGCAGTGGAGGATGGCCCAAGTGCTTGGGCCCTGCACCCCATGGGAGACCAGGAGAAGTACCTGGCTCCTGCCATCGGATCAGTGTGGTGCGCCGGCCATTGGAGGGTGAACCAACGGCAAAGGAAGACCTTTCTCTCTGTCTCTGTCTCTCACTGTCCACTCTGCCTGTAAAAAAAAAAAAAAAAAAAAAGGTGGGGGTGAATGGTTGACATTCTCAAGCATTTTAGAGGAAAATACGAGGCAGAAGCTGTTTTCTGAGGGATAAAGGAACAGATGAGTAGAAGAGAAGATGGCAGCTGATGCTTCCAAAATGATAGTATGGGAAAAAAGTGTTGGCATGGAAGAGCAGCTTAGCAATCTAAAATTGAACAGTGCATGAGGGTACTTCAAAAAATGCTTGGAAATTGAATTAAAAGATAAGCTTATTTTGGTGTAAAAATGTGGAAATCCAGACTTAATTATTTCATAATACACATTTCCCATGAACTTTTCGATGTACCATTGTATTCACACTTGACATCTTACTTGTAGCAGAATATTTAGGAGTAGTTCGGTGCTGCAAGCTGAAATTATAATACTGCTCACAAATTTGAAATCATTAATAATATTTGTTTCTAATTCAGCTAGAAAAAGGAATGGTTTTATGTAATCTGAGCAAAAAAAATGGCTATTCACTGTTAACTCCAGGTATATCTTTTTTTTAAAGATTTATTTATTTATGTGAAAGTTAGAGTTACACAGAGAGAGAAGGAGAGGCAGAGAGAGAGGTCTCCCATCCACTGGTTCACTACCCAATTGGCCACAATGGCCGGAGCTGCGCCTATCCAAAGCCAGGAGCCAGGAGCTTCCTCCAAGTCTCCCACATGGGTGCAGGGTCCCAAGGACTTGGACCATCTTCTGCTTTCCCAGGCCATAGCAGAGAGCTGGATCAGAAGTGGAGCAGCCAGGACTTGAACCAGTGCCCATATGGGTTGCTGGCACTGCAGGCAGCGGCCTTACCTGCTACACCACAGTGCCGGCCCCCCAGGTATATCTTTGCCACTAAACAGCTGACGTGATAGAGATGAGATGGGTTTACAGTGTACAGATTTTCTTGCTGGCCAGGAGTGTGGCCAGTCCTAGGAGGTAAGATCCTCCTAAAAGGGGGACCAGCCCTGTGGCGTAGTGGGCTAACCCTTCGCCTGCCACACTGGCATCACATATGGGTGCCAGTCCATGTCCCAGCAGCTCCTCTTCCAATACAGCTCCCTGCTATGGCCTAGGAAAGCAATAGAGGATGGTCTAAGTGCTTGGGCCCCTGTACCCCCATGGGAGACCCCGAAGAAGCTCCTGGCTCCTAGTTTTGGATAGGCCCAGCTCCGGCCGTTGCAGCCATTTAGGGAGTGAACCAGTGGATAAAAGACGCTCTCTGTCCTCTCTCTGTCTACTATAACCCCACCTCTCAAATAAATAAATAAAATCTTAAAAAAAAAAAAAAGAAAGATCCTTCTATATGATGCTGGAAAGGGGCAGAAGAACCCAGCACTGGACCCCAAAACCTTTGGCTATTTAGTACCTGGGCAAGAGGTCACACTAAAGACCTTCTAGAGCAGCAAGCTCCATATTTGTAAATATATTTGATTTTTTTTATTGGAAATACAGAGTTACAGAGAGAATGGGACACAGACAGAGAGAAATCTTCCCCCTGATTGTTCACTCCCCAGATTACCACAAAGGCTGGGGCTAGACCAGGCCAAAGCCAGAATCCTGGAGCCCCAGCCAAGTCTCCCATATGAATAGCAGGGACCCAAGCATCCAGGGTCATCTTCCACTGTTTTCTCAGGCACATTAGCAGGAAGCTGGATCAGAAGTAGAGTAGCCAAGACTTAAACCGGTGCCCATATGGGAAGCCAGTGTCACAGATGATGGCTTAACCCCCTCTGCCACAGTGCCAAGCCCTCCACATTTTTTTTATTTTTATTATTTTTTTTATTTTTTGACAGGCAGAGTGGACAGTGAGAGAGAGAGACAGAGAGAAAGGTCTTCCTTTGCCGTTGGTTCACCCTCCAATGGCCGCCGCAGCCGGTGCGCTGCAGCCAGCGCACCGCGCTGATCCGATGGCAGGAACGAGGTACTTCTCCTGGTCTCCCACGGGGTGCAGGGCCCAAGCACTTGGGCCATCCTCCACTGCACTCCCTGGCCACAGCAGAGAGCTGGCCCTGGAAGAGGGGCAACCGGGACAGAATCCGGCGCCCCAACCGGGACTAGAACCCGGTGTGCCGGCGCCGCAAGGAGGAGGATTAGCCTAGTGAGCCGCGCAGCCGGCCCACATTTTTTTAAAGACTAATTTATTTGAAAGACAGAGTGTCGGAAGATGGAGGTAGAGAGATCTTTCCTCTGCTGATTCACTCCCAAATAACCACAACTGCCAGGGCAGGGTCAGGCCAAAGTCAGGAGCCCAGAACTCCATACAGTTCTCCCACATGGGTGGCAGGGGCCCAATTACTTTTGTCATTTTCCACTGCCTTCTGAGGTGTATTAGTAGGAAGCTGAATCAGAAGTGGAGCATACAGGATGCCAGTGTCTCAAGCAGCAGCTTAACCTACTGTGCCACAGCAATGGCCCCATGCTCCACATCTTTTGCAATCAGTAGTAAATATTTGGTGTGGTAAATATCAGATGTAAATATTTGGGTATGTACATTTATCAGCAGTAAATATTTGGATGTGTACATTTCTTTGTTAATAAGGTAAATATACTGTGATATGTTATGATATACCATGAGTAGTATAAAAAGCATACCAAGCAGTATTTTCAATGGATGAGACCAAACATAAACACAATCGGAAGTTCTGTTTTCTTCCATCACCTTAAAGGACTGTCATGAGCACATTCCCCCTCCCCCATCCCTTGGCAGTAGAGACACCCTATTGCAGAGACCTCTGATCTACAGTGTGTTAACTGAAGAGAGCCCTTGACAGTGACTTTCAAAGACCAAGGGCAGTGAATCAAATCTAAGTGATCAGTAAGAAACACAGCCAGGGGGCAGCAAAATGCAGCACCTAACACCCATTTGCTGTGACTTTTCCGTTGAGTTCACTTCATAGTGTTAGGGCAATTCCATTGCAAGCCAGCATTGCCAGTGCCCTCACCAGCACGCCAAGGCCCGCCATCAGAGGGAACAGGGAGCATGGGTCCTCTTCCCCAAGCATAGCCTCAGTTTCCGTAGCCCCCAGGATGATGGAATGAGTGGCAAGCAATTGGGTGCATCCTCTTATCTAAGCCCCAGGGGCCTTGTAGGAAAGAGGAAGATGTACCAGGCTCACTCTCTAGAAGGGAGTCCAGATGGCAGCCAGCCTGACCCTTTCGGTCATCACTGAGTGTGCCAAGCTAGCATCGCAGCAGTCATGGTTAATTGTGCCAGGCTGGCCTCCCTGCTTCCAGGGGCACTGGGCAAAGGCCACACTGCTGCCCTGCTCTCCAGGGATTTTCAAATCATGTCCCACAAAACTCCGAGTATCCTGAGAGGTATTTCCCAACCAAGCTGTCTAGTGGAGAGGGTGGGCAAGAGGGAAACCAGGTTGGTGCAGCCTCAATCTATCACAAATTTCAATAGAACAGAAAAAAAATCTGAAAACAGAGGCGCAGGTTGACGGCTCACAGTATGAAAAAAAACAAGATGATGACATTGCTTTCTCAGTATCACCAGGACATTGACACTACGGGCTCTGAATTCAAGTTGCTAGGGCTTGAGTTGGACTCTGCCTCTTGCCAGCTGTGAGGCCTAAGCAATCCGAGGTGTTTTTCTGTATTCCTGAGTTCTGTGTTGGTAGATTCCACAGCTGCGTATTCAACCAATCACAGATCAAAATTTTTAAAAAATTGTACATGTGAGGAGGTATAAACTGTCATTGTTCCCTACACAATTCTGTATAATGGCCATTTGCATAGTGTTTACTTCGTGTTAGGTATGATCAGTCATCCAGAGAAGACTTCAAGTAGATAGGAGGATCTATGCAAAGATATATATCCAAAGATAGCACCATTTTACATACGGGAACTGTGCACCGCGGGTTTTGATTGGTTCTGGAGATACTGACTTAGCTTCTGTTGTTATCTCGATAACGATGATGACGATGTCCGTGTCTCTGAGTGTGTCTGCACACCAGGAAGGGGAGCTCACGCACTCTCTCCCAGCTGCCTCGCAGGCTTTCTGCAGCTGTTCCTCCCATGACCTGCCACCCGCTTTTCCTCAGATGTCCCCAAAGAGCAGCGGCTGCAGGCGGTGCAGGCTGCCATTCTGCTCCTGGCCGATGAAAACAGGGAGGTCCTGCAGACGCTCCTGTGCTTCCTGAACGACGTGGTCAACCTGGTGGAAGAGAATCAGATGACACCCATGAATCTGGCTGTGTGTCTGGCCCCTTCCCTGTTTCATCTCAATCTGTTGAAGAAGGAAAGCTCTCCCAGGTGGGTTCCTCAGCAACAGCAATAATCCCAAACCGGCTTCTCCCCAGCATGTGTTAAAAAATAATAAACTTGCGAACGTCTCTTGTGCTGGACTTTAACGTGAGGGTTCGTCATCACGTATTGTACAGTCGGCACCTATTCCAAGGTAACCTCATTCCTGGGGCTCAGGTTCGTAGAATTATGGGAGCGGTGTTGGAGGAGGTCGGTGGCGATCCAGAAAGCCTGGGAAATTCTTTTTTGTTTGGTTTGGTTTGGTTTGTACGAGTGGGACGGAGGAAAGTACACAGAGTAGTATTTCACAGTCTTTGAAAGAAGGCTATATTTAAGACCAAAGCGCAGAAGCTTCAGTCAAGCGGTTTCAAAGTTTGGAAAAAGTAGATGCATTTGTCCTCCCACAGTTCTTCCTGCTCTTGTATTTTTTTCTAAGCCTTTTCCACTGCAAACTGTCAGGCTGTGAGCTGGCCTCGGCCTCTCTGAGATGTGTGGCCACTGTTTTGGTTTGGAAATGGGATCTGGGTAGCATCTGGTCTGAACAGAAAACAAAAGGAATGAGCTTGGAGTTGTGCAAAGCTCTCTGGTGTGGGATCTGCTCAGCACGCTCACGTTCAATTACAGAGTCATACAGAAGAAATACGCCACTGGGAAGCCAGATCAAAAGGACCTCAATGAGAATCTGGCTGCCGCGCAGGGTCTCGCCCACATGATCATGGAATGTGACAGACTTTTTGAGGTGAGCAAAAGGCTCTAACCGCCTTCCTTATAGCTCTTGGAACTAGATAAGACGCGTAGAATGGCGGCTCCATTTATGGCTGTATCTGTTTGTCCCAGGCTTTACAATGACAATAGTGTGCTCTAGAGCTGTGGTCTTGGCCTCCAAGAAATGTGAGAAGCTAGCAGTGTACAATCAAAGCTTTAATAACTTGGGGTTACCATGATGTTGCTTCAGATTCAAGGCCAGTCAGCCAGTTATGTTAGGTCTGATCTTTACCTTGGAGTTAATTGGGCTCAACGTGTGTGTGTGTGTGTGTGTGTGAGAGAGAGAGAGAGAGAGAGGGAGAGAGAGAGAGAGAGATTGAGCAGTCCTTCTTACTAAGAATCGATTATAGCTTGTGAATACCGACACAGATATGATAAAGAGTAAGCGGATGTGACTTTGGCATACTTTCTGCAGTAAAATTGGCATCTGTCAATTGGAAAAGTGTGCTAAAAGTCTGTTTTTTAAAGTCATATTTGATGCTTCCCCGAACAAGTCTGTGTGCTACAAATCTATTCGTGTTGGGCAAAGTTGCCGGAGCCCACATTTTGCCAAACTGAATAAAAATACATCGAAAGGAAAATAAGGGGGAAATGGAAATGGAAAGAATGAATGGGAAGTCGCTGCAGTGTTTTCAGTAGTAAATATAGCTTCAGAAACGCATTTGTATTTCCTGACATTAGGAAGGCCCCTCTTGGCTTTGGCACCGATCTTAGAAAAACAGCTCCAGCCCCGTCCGTGGCCCTCGGCCCACTGCTCAGTCTTTGGTTGTTGTTGAAGTGACGTGGCTTTCTCTAACTGTTGGTCTCAGCCTTTCTTTAGTTCTGTGTTGCTCTTTCGTGCATCTGTTGGTTCAGGTCCCACATGAGATGATGGCCCAGTCTCGTAATTCATATATGGAGGCTGAGATCCATGCGCCAACCCTGGAAGACCTGGGGGCCCAGCTGGAGGAGAGTGGGGCGACTTTCCACACCTACTTGGAGAATCTTGTCCTTGGCCTCCAGAAAGAAGCCAAGGAGAAGTTCAAAGGATGGGTCACGTGCTCCAGCGCTGACAACACAGACCTTGCCTTCAAAAAGGTAACCCCAACACCCCCTGTCTGCTTCTCAAGTAACTGGCTCAATCAATCGATGAAATATTTTTTGTAAAAGTGAGTTGAGTATTTAATCTAGCAGTTAGGATGCCCACATCCCATGTTGGAGCTACTTGGTTCAATTCCTGGCTCTAGCTACAGATGCCAGCTTCCTGCTAATAATGCAAATCCTGGGATGCAGCGGATGATGGCTCAAGTCATTAGGTCCCTGCCTCACACATGGGAGACCCAGATTGGAATCTCAGCTCCTGGCTGTGGCCCCAAGCTCAGGCCCAGCTGTTGAGGGCATTTGAGGAATGAACCAGCAAACAGGAGCTCTCTCTGTCTCTCTCTCTCTCTCCCCCTACCTGTCAAATAAATAAAAATAAATAAGCATTTAAAAAAAAAGGTAATCCCCCTAAAGCCATGTGTAACAACCAGATTTGTTTTTGCTTCAAAAAATAGCTGCTCCATCCACACGTACCACTCAAAGGCCCAAAGACCCGTCTGCAGCCCTCTTGCATAAAATCAGAATGCAGATCATGGAGCCCAGCTTCTGGATCCTAATCCTGTTTCTTCCCTTTCACTGCGAGGTGGCCCACAAGCCTCACACCTCTCTGTGCAGTCTTGTCATTTACGAAATGGACCTTATCAGAGTACCCCATCAGAGGAGGGCTACTTAAAAATCAAAAGGGTTAGGACAGTGCCTGGCACCCAGTCCTCACGGTGCGTGGTGCTCCTTCTTATTTTTATTGTCGTTAAGCTTAAGAATTAAAATGTTCAACGTGAAAGCTGAGGCCTGCAGCACCACTCTTTCCAGTTCACATAATAAGCGCTGCTTTCTGACCTCCCCCCAACCCCCATGAAGTAGGGTAGAATTTGGCCGGGCCCCGGTGACCCCGGGATGAGCATCTGGTGCTGTCTTTCCCCAGGTGGGGGACGGGAACCCGCTGAGGCTGTGGAAGGCCTCTGTGGAGGTGGAGGCGCCCCCGTCGGTGGTGCTGCACCGCGTGCTGAGAGAGCGCCACCTGTGGGATGAGGACTTTGTGCAGTGGAAGGTGGTGGAAACTCTGGACAGGCAAACCGAGATCTACCAGTACGTGGTGAACAGCATGGCCCCCCATCCCTCCAGAGACTTCGTGGTTCTCAGGTAAGGCTGACTCCGGGGTCTGCGATGTTCTGTTTCCACGGCAGGCTGGGTGTGACGGATTGAAGCGTTTTCTGGAGTTCTCTACCACCTAGGTCCAGCTTCCATGGGGAGCACTAAGCCGGCTCTCCTTTCCCTCCCTGCACCCTGACTTTGCTATATTTATGCCCGGCTTCCTGCTTCTTTCACCCAATTTACAGCTCCGCCTGGCCCCTCTCCTTGTGGAGCGCACGGTTTATTAGGCTGTAAATAGCGCTCATTTCCTTCAGGCCTGACACTGGCTGCTGTTTGTCCCGTTGCACTTGCTGCCAGGTTATGCAAATAGAATCTGACCAGCTTGTCTCCTGATTTTGCCTGCCTCCCCCTGGAAGGCAAGCCTGCAGTTCGTGTAACTCGAAGGCCGGAGCAGGCAGGCATAACCTCAAAACCCAGCTGTATCATTTCAAATGTTCATGAGTAAAATGCCATGCAAGGAAACCTTGGCAGAGCCCCGAAGGCCCAACTCCACCGAGATGCTGGTTGTGCAGTCAGATTTCAGGACCTGACCGGGCTTGCTGAGACCTGGGCCTGCTTTGAAATATTTTTTCTGGTTGATGTATGGGTTGAGTTCCAGATCTCGGCTATCTGGGTTTAGAATGGGACACCCAACCAACAACAGGAAATTGGCACAGAAGAAATGCAGTATTACATCAGAAAGAACAAGGATTGAGGATATTAAAGAAACTGGAAAATGTAATTAGATCAGTATTTCCTTTTTTATTGAAACCTCAGCAAACCTTGTCTCTTCTCACAGATCAGCTGTGTACAAAGAATCACTAGTTCAATTCCCAAGTGCATTATTTTAGAGCAGTGTCTTTATGAAACCAGTTTTGATGGCAAACTAAAGGTTGCTTTTCACATGGACTTTTTATGCCTTTGATATTAGTCCTTGGGACCTTGACTTTTAAGGGTCCATTTTCCCAAAATAGATGTGTTTGTCTCAGCAACCTTGAGAGAACGCAGGCGGTTATGAGAGTGGCTCATTACCACAGTTACGGGGACATTAGTCATCTTGCTGGGTGAAGCTTCACACCTTCACTCTCCCAAGCAGAAAAACTGAGTAGTTGTCCCCCCAGCCACAGCAGCCAGGCCGTGAGCCTGTTCTCTCCCTCCTTCCATCCATATAGCAACCAGCAGCATACTCTTCACGAGTACAGTCACCTCTCAGTATCCACAGGGACTGATTTCCAGATGCCCTACCGATACCAGTTCTCTGAAGCTCAAGGCCCTTATAGATGGAGCAGTATTTCACATAGCCTATGCACATGCTGCTGTATACTTTAAATCATCTCTCGATCACATAGAATACCTAATGCTATGTAAACCATCGTTCTGCCATATTGTACAGGGAATAATGAAAAAAATCTATAGATAGTCATACAGATGCAGCTTTTTTTCCCAAATATTGTCAATGCACAGTTGGTTGCATCCTCAAGGTCCGTCATTCCTGGGCCAGGCTCCGTTGCAGGCTCTGGGGTACCCCACTCAACACAGTAAACCAAGATCCTGCTCTCTCAGGGTTTGATATTTTCCTGGGGAGAGAGAGTCAACAAATAACAAGAAAGGAAGATACGGTTACTTGTCCTTGAGGGAATAGATAAGGAAGGAGATATTAAGGGTGGAATTTTAAATATAAAGGGCTGGGCAAAGTCTCACTCTACTGAATATTGCAACTAAGACTCGAAGGGGCAGTGAGGCTCAGAGGTTGAATACAACATTTAGGATCGTGAACCACTCCCCAGACGTGCCTTTGGCCAGCAGGAATTCTTCATGTCTGCAACATGAGAATTTGGAAAGTGACCATGCAGGGAGACAGTCACAGTGTGGAGATGTGTCCTGACCACAGAGTGTCTGTCCATCTGATCTCACCCCGACAAGGCTCATTCCCTGGGGACCATGCTGTGCACCTGTCATTTGACACCCAGCTCTAACTCCTCACGGCTCCCAAGGAGAGCGACTGAAGATCTCACCATTTTTTTTTTCGGTCCCTGTTGATCTTTGCAACTGTCAGTCTTCATGGTTTGGTCACGTCATCATGCAGAACAGGAGCGGCCCCGGCTGTGGGGCTGTGCACAGAGCATCTGTGTCAGGCTTCATTACTGTCAACTTCTTGTTGAGTGTTTTACCCCCTTTCTCTGCTGTAATGAAACACCTGTGGCCAGGAGACTTCTAAAGAATAGAGGTTTATATACCCCATGGATCTGGAGACTGGGAAGTCCAAGAGCAGTGGCACCAGCATCTGCTCAGCTTCTGGTGAGGGCCTCCTGGCTGAGTCAAGATGCCACAGGGGACATCACCCAGCAAGACAGGAAAAGGTCACAGAGAGCCCACTATTACAACAAAGTCACTCCCCAGATAGCCCATTTGTCTGTCAACCCATCAATCCATGAAATGCATCAATCTGCTCATGAGGCCAGAACCCTCATGACTCAGTCACCTGCAGAAGCCCCCACCTTTCAACACACTCAAACCATAGCCTGGGGCGTATTCAGCAGTTTCTCTTCTTGCTACAGTGGGACAAGTTAAAGTTGTAGCTGAGGTGGATAAACCAGGAAACAGGATATGTGAAGTGAATACAGGGGGTTCTAACTATGCAATCGATTATGATACATCCCTGTGCTGGGAAGGGAAGTTAGGGGTGCTTCCCCAAAGCTCTTGTGACTCCTAACTCCATCCACAACTTTTTCCGATTGGTAGCCCTTCTCTGCTTGAATAGGTCCAGTGTCAGGGAGCTCGGTCCCTGTGGATAGAGTGCATTGTCAGGCAGCTCTTCTCAGCCCTGAACTGAAACTTGCCTCCCTCCCTCTGTCTTCCAGAGTCAAATCGACCATATTTATTTCGTCCCTCTCTTGAGAGCCACTGAGGTATCTGAAGACATTTAGCAGATCCACATGTTTCATTTTTCTTATGCTAGGCATCAGCAGTTCATTTATCCATTGAGACTTGAACCGGGCATCCCCTCCTCCAGGAAGCCTCCCCACCCCATATTCCTGCTCTGTCCCTCCCTGTGATCACAGGGACCTCCATGCATAGCCGTATCACCCCAGACTGTGGGATTCTGAGTTCTCCTTAGAGTTGTCAGTTTCTCCCACTGGGTTGTGCATATCTGTGTCTTGGGTGGCTTTGCAGGGCCTGTCACACCGATGTGCTCAGCAGATGAACGAATGAATGAATTGGGTGTGCAAATCCTATTTCCTGTACTATAAAATCCCCTCTTCAATAACAGGCCAGAACAGCCACAGAAAAGCAGAGCTGGGCCTCCGTTTGGGGTTCCACATGCACAGCTCTGGAAGCTACAAGAACATTTCTGGGCCCTGAGGGCGAGAGCCGTGATGCTTCCCTGAGCCACACAGTGTAGACTTTACACAAGCTTATGGAAACCCTTAGCTTCATCCAAGTAATAGCGTCAGAATTCCAGGCCAGGCTTGGCAGGAAAATCTAAGTGGAAACCTTAGCTCTGGCCTCAGGTGTTCTTCTTTCTCCCTGAGCCATATCTCTGATGTGTGCGTTGTTTTGCTCCAGGACCTGGAAGACCGATTTGCCCAAAGGAATGTGTACCCTGGTGGCCCTCTCCGTGGAGCACGAAGAAGCGCAGCTCATGGGCGGCGTGCGGGCGGTGGTGATGGAGTCTCAGTACTTGATAGAACCCTGTGGCTCTGGCAAGTCGAGACTGACCCACATCTGCCGGGTAGACCTGAAGTAAGTGTCAGCCCCCGAGGATGCCAGCCTGGGTCTCAGGGGGCCTTGGCCCTTGGCCCCGGCTCTGCAGGGCCCCGTTGGTCGCGTGGTTCCCTAGTTCACTCTACTTTTTTCCTCACTGCCGTGAACACAGTTTCATAGATGATCACGTGTGCATCGCCTCTCTCTCCTCCTTTTCTTACATTCTGCCCTTTCTCCTGCTGCCCTGTGCTTGTCTGTGCTTTCCGTTTTCCTAGTTTATTTTGCACTGACAACTGAAATTTGTTTACGTGTAGACCGTACTGTTAGCATGATGTTTTAAATACACATGCATTGCGGAATGGGCAAATCAAGCTAATTAGCATACCCATTACCCCACATGTTTGGTGTTGAGATAATTTCAAATCTACTCTCCCAGCAGTTTTCAACAACGCAATGCATTTTTATTAACTCTAATCACCATGGCGTGCAATAGGACTCCTGACCCATCCCATCTAGCGGAAATTGTGTGACCCTTGGCCAACATCTCCCCAGCCCCTATTCCTGCCCCCGGCCCCTGGTATTCACCATTCTAGTCTCCACGCCCATGAGTTGCCCATTTGGAGATTCTTCTTGTAGGTGTGGCATAACGAAATTTGTCCTTCCATGCCTGGCTTACTTCACTTACTATAATATCCTCCAGGTTCCCTCCTGTGGTCCTAAACGAGAGAATTTCCTTCCTTTTTAAGTCAGAATAATATTGCACTGTGGAGCAGCAGCATATTTTCATTACGCACTCATCTGTTAATGGACAGGCTTAGGTTTCTTCCGTATCTTGGCTATTGTGAACAGTGCGGCAGTAAGCGTGCGAGAGCAGATGTCTTTCCCAGGCATTGACTTTCTTACACGTCGACCAAGGACTGGAACCATAGGATCTCAGAGTAGCTTCTTTACTTTCCATTTTGTTCTCACTTATATTCCTGTGCTTCTCACATGGAGCACACACAGGCACATAGTAGATGCTCAACAAGTCTGACTTACATTATTCTGTGTTTCTGGCCCCCTTCACTTCCCCCTCCAGTTGCCTTTCTTTGAGAAGAAAGCGACTTAAATCCACCCCTCTTCAGGATAATTCATGATGCTAGACTAACTTCTTGATTTAGGCAGACAGAAGTTGAGTTTTCTCAGTGAAGTTTCCATTTTACCCAGAAGAGTTGGTGTCACTTTAAGGCACCTGATGAATCGGGAAAAGGCAGAGAGCACGCCTGGCCGCCCAGGCAGAGAGCCGTCCTCAGAGCCTCAGGTGGCAGCCCCGGGTTGTGGCAGGTGCGTTGGCGACCAGAGCTCCGGGGCGGCTCCATCTGTCGTGACCCATTGCTGCCTGGGAAAAAGACCTTCTCACTTCCTGTGTGACTTCTCTCCCCACAGAGGTCACTCCCCGGAATGGTACAGCAAAGGCTTCGGACATCTGTGCGCAGCGGAGGTCGCCAGGATTAGAAACTCTTTTCAGCCGCTCATTGCTGAGGGCCCAGAGACTAAAATCTGAGCTTTCCCAGGGGACACCGAACTCAGGGAAGAGGAAGAGAAAGCAAATGCTTGTGACAGAGAGTGTGCGCGTGAGGAAGCCAGAGAGAGAGAGAGAATGTGGGTGACCCACGAGGTTAACGCTTCGGAATGGAAGCAGTGAGAAGCGGGCGGCTGGGTGAGGACGCAAGGATTTCTGGGAACTTTCCGAGCCTTCCTGGAGATGGCTACGTCTGTGCTAAAAGAGTATTTTTAAAAGTCAGAACATTTATCTATGTTACTTAAAATTCCGTGGACTATTCCTTGTGCATTGCCTAATTTGCTATTTAAAGGCTTCTAAGAAGCATATACGTCATTGTAAATAAATGTATGTATAACATTTGTACATATGTGTGTATATCTCTATCCTTACTGTACATTTGTAAAGTATCAATTTTATAGATAATTGTTTTGAAATGGAATGTCTGACCCGGTGAGTCCCTTCCTCACGTCGTTACCCTGTGCCCCGGCTCCCCACTGTCCCATAAGCTGAGCAGGACCTGCTGCTAACACCAAAGTGTGAGCGCGTGCAGTCCGCCGGTCTACCTGATGACTAACCAAAGATCAGCTAACCAAAGGGAAACCCCATTAAAAGGTTCCGATGCCTTGGCGATTCGCTCCTGGTATCCAAATCCTGAGAGTGGAGTGTTGGGACGAAGCAAGGGAAAGAATACTGACTTCGTTCATGCGAAGCAGTGGGTGAGAAGTCTTTACCAGACTGAAGTGTAGAGAGATGAGCAGCTGCCCTTGGGCCTTCCGGATGCAACTTCAGTGAGACTGATGGAGCCCAGCAGTGCATGCCGGTGACTGAGACAGAACCCAGATGCCCCTGCCCCAGTAGGGCTGAAGAGCCTTGACATCTGCACAGCCAAAGACAGCCTCTGTGCGGGCTCGAGTTTTCACAGAAGCAAGGGTACTTCAAAAAGCTCATGGGAAAGTACAGTTAAAAGATAATGCATGTTTCCACAAATTTTTGAAGTAGCCTCCTGTATTTCATAACGGTTTTAAACGTTACTCTGTTTGACCAGTGGCCTTCCTGGGCACAGCTCATTGGCATTTGCTTACCAATGCATTGCACTGAATTTAACTTGGACACCAGACAAAGAGAGAGAATGGTGGTTCACGCCAGGAAACTCACCTCTTGTTCTGCATGATGCTCTTAAGACAGAACTCATTCAAGTTCTGCAATCTGAAAGACAGGGTTTTTAATTAATATAAGACCAAAATTATGTTTTTTAGTTAGCTTTAAGAAATATAAACAGGTTTATTAATTTCATGTTTCTTTGTTAGCTGGCTCAAACTACCTATGCATTTGACCCAATCTTATTTATTATTGTAAAGGATGGACAAGTTGATTCTCCTAAACCAATTGCTAATGAATTTGTTTTTATTATAATTCAGCAACTGTAAAAGAAAGATAACTTATTGTGTTTGGTTTCAGGGGGAGAGATTTTCTCTGGTTGTCTGTGACAGAGATGGATCTCTCTAATGTTAGAAGAAAAAAAGAAACAAGAGGTTCAGGGGTTTTTTTTTGTATTATAGGCATTTACGTAATGTTTTCTGTTATCAGCAATGTGCAATTATCTTATTGAAAGGAATAAATATGCTATATATGAGTTGGGTATGGTGCAAGGCAAATCATACTGTTTCAATTATGACTAGGGATTTTCTGTCCACCTGTCTACCTAATAAGGTGACAGCAAACCCATAATTTACCATTTGGACATTGCTTTGTGAACAAAACAAATTCATGTGTAACTCTCTGTGCTGGGTTACTTTTTATGCATCAACAAGATGGATAATGAAGTTTAAACTAGCTAGACACTGGCCCTGCCCTGGGGACAGGACCCTACACGTTTGGAAAACATGAGATAGGCACACAGAATGAAGGGTATTGTACCCCCAGGCAGGTCCGCGCTGCACGCGACGCGCACACACATGTCGCTTGAGAGCTTGTTAAAATGCAGACTCATGCAGGCAGTCTGGCGTGGGCCCCAGAGTCTGCATTGCTAATGGGCCTCGGGGATGCCTCTGCTGCTGGTCCAGAGACCGCACTCTGAGACGCAAGGACCCAGAGGACACTTAGAATAAAAGCAAACGCGACTGTACTTCTGACTCCCCTCCCTTGGAATCACCTGACTGGTTTTTGGTTGTGCACATACTCATCACATCACTGCAGCTTATGAATTCAGTGCATCCTTTTAACAAAAGGAAAAGGGGGAGAGGGGTCAAAGATGCATCATACTTATTTGTCAAATACCACAGTATTTTATTCATGGTTATCTTGCCAATGGAAATAAACTATGATATTGCATTTAAATATTATATTTATACCTCATGTATATTTTACCTCGATTGTTGGTATCAATCATCAATTGTAAATAATTGCCAAGGCAAATAAATTTATATACATTAAATATTTCCTATTTTCTAAAAAACACATGTTGATTTTCATGCTTCATCCTGTAAGTGGAGTGCCTGCTCCGGGAAGAGGACTTCTGTCTATGACAGCTCATGGTTGTGCTTTCTCCCAGTACAAGGCTGTTGTAATCAGCAAACACTCAGTCCAGGTGCCTTAACCTGGGCCTCCGGCATTACACTGATGGGGAGGGACTGCGTTTGTTTGTTTGTTACAAGTCATTGTCCTTAAGTCTGGATGTTTTAAAACCACCTTCATGGTGCCTTTATCAATGCTGAGTGAACTCTGCTGCAGTTTTGTTGTTGCACGCACAAGCGATCGAGACTGGATGGAATGACTTACAGCACTGCTAGACGGTAGAGAGCAGCCACCAAGGACTCAGGTCCCGTGCCCTTGCATCCCTGTGCCTTTTCTCTCCAGGATTTACCTCTAGAAAATAACAATGGTAGCCCTTAACTAAGCAGGCAGCAGCCCCCAGACACACTCAGCTGTGGGCTTCAAACACCGCAGCAGCCCCGTCCACAGGCCCCATAAAAGATGGACCGGCTCCGCTGTCCGCTCCTCTCACACGTGCCTCCTGCCAGTACTTGAAGTTTGCTTCCTTAGGAAAAGGAGGCGTCTCCAAGGCCTCTTTTCCTCTTTCATGTAACGAGATGGTTGTTCTTACAGCTATAGGCCACCACCTACGTGCTGTCCCGGGAGCACGGACCATGTGGATTCAAGCCTGCTTCCAGACACGGCCCATGGAATTCTCAGACGTGAAATGCTTACACTTCTGCTTTTGGATTTTTGATACAAAAAAGTCAGTCATGTGGCTTCTCAGGAAGATAGTGCCCAACACACAGGGATAAAATAGACCCCAGGCAAGTGGAGAGTGGCACTGTGCCCTACAGGCGAAGGCGGTATGTGCCGATTGCCGAGGGGCGTACACCTAGGACCCGGCATCCCAGCATCCGCAGTGCAGCAAGCCATGAGGACTGAACTGCCGGTGTGCTCCCTGTGGCAGGCTCTATCCTTAGTAGATTTTCTTAAAGACAATGTGTATTCCCGCGTTTAACAAGACCCATCAGGCCACCAAGATGACTTCTAGCCCACATCCCCCTTGTGCACAACGGAAGCCCTAACTTCCTGGTGGTCCGGTGCCTGCGAAGCCAGATGCCTTTCCTAAGGCATTGGTTCATTCAGCACACATCCATCACCCAGGGGACACTGCAGGCAGAGATGCTGATGGAAACAAGGTATCTTGAGCAGAAATAGTGACTTACGGTCAGTCAGCATCTGGGGTGGTTCCATTCTATGAAGTGTCAGCAAACACTGGGTTAACCAGGGCTCCGAGGGAAAGTCAGCCCCTGGTCACAACGCTGTGGCAGCCCATCAATGCCTAGTACTGTGTTTATATTCCCATACGGAGATACATTATATAATATCTATTTCTTACAAATTAATTATCTGTAACATGTGTGGTAATAAAACCCTCCTGGCGAAGGATTTAATGTTGTCCTGGCTCTGGGGCGCATGACTGTAATCTTAGGATTTCAGCCTCCCAACAATGGCTGTGCTCCCACACTTTTCATTAAATAACCCTTGTCATCTCAAGAGCCTGCAAATTCGGTTGTTTGTCCATCTTTTGCGTAACCGCGCACACACTGTAGATGTCACGTTAGCGCTCCCTGGAGCAGCTTCACACGCACGTCGATGACCTGCCTCTCCCTTCTGCCCACAGCACTGAAACTCAGGCTTGCACGAAGCTCGTCTAATACACTCACTCTCCATGGGGCGGGCAGCCCAGCCTCCTTGTGCCTAGCAGCACATCAACACTACACATGGGGGACTTTTTTTTTTTTTTTTTTTTTTTTTTGACAGCAGAGTTAGACAGTGAGAGAGAGAGACAGAGAGAGAAAGGTCTTCCTTTCATTGGTTCACCCCCAAAATGGCCACTACAGCCAACACGCTGCGCTGATCCAAAGTCAGGAGCCAGGTGCCTCCTCCTGGTCTCCCATGTGAGTGCAGGGCCCAAGCACTTGGGCCATCCTCCACTGCACTCCCGGGCCACAGCAGAGAGCTGGCTTGGAAGAGGGGCAACCGGGACAGAATCTGGCGCCCCGACCGGGACTAGAACCCGGGGTACCGGCACCGCAGGCGGAGGATTAGCCTAGTGAGCCGCGATACTCGCCAACCTGGGAGACTTTTTAAACAGTCACGTCACCACGAGAAAGCCCAACAATGGGGACAACACGGCGTTCAACAGCCCGTGAAAGGACACATGCATAGGCTGGGAAAGCTGACATAAGGCGGCGTCTGCTCCAGCTGAGAATCGCCATCACAGACACCTCTGTGTTTTTGTCCACACGTGGTCACAGAAGCACTGCTACTATTGATTGATTGGGGATCACACGTAACTTTAAAGAACAGACAAGTGTCAGGATGGAGTGTGTATACAGATCCCGGGGCGGGCCGCTGTGAAGTCTGGGATCGCAGCGCGGGTGGTGACCCCCTGGGGAATCCGAGGACAGGCGTCTCTCTGAGTCAGCAGAATTGCAGCTTCAGAGAGCTGGCAGTGAGAGCCGAGAGGCAGAGCTGTGAAGATGGTGTGGCTGACAGAGCTAAGTGCACTAACGCAGGCCTGCGCTGCCGGCCCACGACGCGGGAGCTGGATGAGAAGTGCACAGCTCTCGGCCAGCCCCCCTCACCCCTTGGGTTTCCCCACAGACAGAAGTCGAGGTGCCTCCCCACCTGGGTTTCCTTTTCATTTTAGCTCCTGCTGCTTGCCTCTATTCCCTCCATGATGTGGAATATTTAGGTAAATCGATATCCACCCAACACTTTCTTTTTTTATTATTTTATTTTTTATTTTTGGACAGGCAGAGTGGACAGTGAGAGAGAGAGACAGAGAAAGGTCTTCCTTTTCCATTGGTTCACCCCACAATGGCCGCTGAGGCCGGCGCCCTGCGCTGATCCAAAGCCAGGAGCCAGGTGCTTCTCCTGGTTTCCCATGGGGTGCAGGGCCCAAGCACTTGGGCCATCCTCCACTGCACTCCCGGGCCACAGCAGAGAGCTGGACTGGGGACAGAATCTGGTGCCCCAACCGGGACTAGAATCCAGGGTGCCGGCGCCACAGGCGAAGGATTAGCCTAGTGAGCCACAGCGCCAGCCTAGACAAGACACTTTCAAGATCAAAACAATATCTTGAATGCCAAGATCCAGGAAGCACCAGGTCCGTCTGGGAGCTCTGTGAGGGGATTTCAAAGTGGTTTTGGAAAACAGGTTTAAAGAAAAGATTATTATGATGCAAAAAAATTTTGAAATGTGTGCATGTGTTTTGGTTTTAAGTATTATTATTTAAGAGACAGCAAAATGGAGATAGAAGCAGAGCTCTCATCCACTGTTCACTGCCCTCAACGGCCACAGCGTCTCGGACTGAGCGTGGCTGACTGAGGCTGGCAGGTGAAAATTCCGCTCAGATCTCCCATGTGCGGGCAGAGACCCAGTCACTGCAGTCATCGCCTGCCGTCTGCTGTCCGCACTGGCAGAAGCTGGAGTCAGCAGACAGAGCCGGGACTCAAACCAGGTACTCGGGTGTGGGGCATCAGTGTCTTCACCGCCAGACCAAGTGCTCATCACGGTTTTTCATGATACACCTTTCCCATGACCTCTCATAGGATTTGAAGACACCAAGTGCCGGTGAGATGAAGTTGTTGGTGAGACCTCCCAAATCAGCACGAAAGGTTAAACTAGCGGGCTCTCTCCCACTCCTCTTCTTAGAATGCTTGCCGCAGGAGGCAGGCTGGTCCAGAGACAGCCTGGCCCACCCGCTCCCTACCAGAGGAGGCCTTTACTTTGTATAAACGAAGCTAGAGCCCGTGACTTTGCCTCCATCCACAACTCTAGCATGGCCAAGTCAGGGAACTGAGATCCCTCCCGTGGGCCCCACTAGGGACTGTCCTATTCTGTATAACCCAGGATCCCATGAGGGCTAAGGAGGGGCTTCAGGCTGGTAACCAGAATGACTTGTGGACCACCATGATGAGTAGGGAATCCCATTAGAAGGCTGTTGCAGGGGCCGGAGATGTGGCCTAGCAAGTAAAGCCTCTGCCTACGATGCCGGCATTACATATGGGCACCTGTTCAAGTCTGGGCTGCTGCACTTCCAATCCAGCTCCCAGCTAATGCACCTGGGAAGGCAGCAGAAGATGGCCCAAGTGTTTGGGTCCCTGCCACTCACAGGGGGCATCCAGATGCAACTCCTGGCTCTTGGATTCAGCCTGGCCCAGCTCTGGCCGTTGTAGCCATTGGGGAGAGTGAAACAGCAGGGGGAAGATCTCTCTGCTGTCCCTCTCTCTGTGTCACTCTTTCAAATAAAAATAATTTTTATAAAGAAGGCTGCAAAACTCTCCAGGTGAAAAAATGTGGAGAAAGGAGCAGATAGATTTTTACATGGATTTCAAACTTTTTTTAAAAAAAAGATTGATTTTATTTATTTGAAAAGCAGAAATACAGAGAAAGAGAGAAGGAGAGAGACAGTTCTTCCATCCGCTGGTTCACTCCCCAAATAGCCGCAATGGCCGGGGCGGGGTCAGGCCAAAACCCTAACCCAGGTGCTTCTTCCAGGTCTCTCATGTGGGTTCAGGGGCCCAGGTACTCAGGCCATCTTCCACTGCTTTCCCAGGTGCATTAGCAGGGAGCTGGATCGAAAGTGAACCAGCCAGAACTCAAACTAGTGCCTATAAGGGCTGCTGGCACTGCAGGTGGAGGCTTAGCCTTTTTTTTTTTTGACAGGCAGAGTGGACAGTGAGAGAGAGAGACAGAGAGAAAGGTCTTCCTTTGCCGTTGGTTCACCCTCCAATGGCCGCCGCGGCCGGCGCGCTGCGGCCAGCGCACCGCGCTGATCCGATGGCAGGAGCCAGGAGCCAGGTGCTTTTCCTGGTCTCCCATGGGGTGCAGGGCCCAAGCACCTGGGCCATCCTCCACTGCATTCCCGGGCCACAGCAGAGGGCTGGCCTGGAAGAGGGGCAACTGGGA